GCAGCGGCGAGTCTACATGACGCTATAATCTGCTCAAAATTCATCCAAATTACTCCTTTTACAATAACTTCTTGCAGTTACCGAGTTCACTGTTTGGGTTCATTGTACAGTTTTGAATATAATATAAAATATCTATAAAATATGTCACTTAGTCGTGATAGAAAAGAAGAAGAAAAAGGTTGGAACCACTGAGTTACAACATGAGACTGTGAACTGGCACAGGATGTTTTTTACCCTGCAGTCTCTAAGGCTTGACTCAGATATTAACCATATGTGACCTGAAACATTTTATATGTAGAGTGGGGGAGTACACAGCCTGGGTGAAGGTACAAGGAAGGTCTAAATTCAGGTCAAAATAATAAATAAATTATTCCTTCTTGCCTGGTTTCTCTCAACTTTTATTCAAAATGTTTTGAATAAGGCAAATGTCATAGCCTATATATAAATATATGCTATATTTTTTTCTTTACATAGTAAAAAATGTCCATCAGTATACTTTTACAGATGTTTATGAACATTAAGGCTTTTCTTTGTGTTTGGCAAGTGTATTTTCCCTTTTTTCTGCATAGCAAATATTCAGAAACAGTCTAAATATTACGTGCAAAGAAAAGGGAAGTTGTTTCAAACCACATATGTCAGACATCTGATTTAGTAATATTAATTTTAGAGATAATCAAAGGTTTGAGAGTTTGGATTTGTAGACTTCATTGGACTTTCACTAACAGACGAGGACACAAAATCCAGGACATACACAAAAGGAAAAATTTGTTGTTTCCTTTTTTTCCATTGCATCAAAGGGGGGATTCATCCTGACATCTGGCTCAGAGTTTATCAGTTTGATATGAAATAAAAATATCAAATAAATATAATTAAAAATGTCAGGCTGTTCTGTCATAAAACTTTGCAAACCATCAGACAAACATTAATCTCTAATCTTCCTCTAGCATTCAAGGCGACTCACTGTTGGCATCTCTCACTAAATCAGAGCATTAACACCTTCACAGTGTGTTCACACATATCACACTGTGGTATTGAAACTGTGGTTGTGAAGCCGGCCCTCCAAAACACCATTCACATCTTCAATTCAGTCTTTAGCAGATTAACACCAAGCACTTTATCTATAATATTCAGTACATTATAGATCAGGTAACCTGCTCTGGAGCAGCATGAGGCTCTTTAACTGCTCTCCAGTGGCTTTAACACAAACATATAAGGAAGTAAGAAAATGTGCCTCATTCATTACGTACTGACCCGGCAACTTTTCCTCTATATTTTACCGGACTAGTAGTGAAGTAGTGAAGTCCTGAGTAAAAAATGATCTCGTTATTTGCGCTTCTTTGGGAGGACCAAAAACACAAATTAAACGTCCCTTTCTATGCGTCCTTACGCAACGCTCGTTTGATCCTATGGTTTGACCTCACTCACGTCACATCACGTGACATGTAGACGTGACCATAGTGTGGACGTGACTCGAACAGGAGCAGAAGACGCACGAAAGACTCAGAAGACATGTGATAATGTTTCTTGAATAAAGAGCATAAAAGAGATCGTGTGCATGTCCTCTTTTTAGAATAAAGATTCATGCTGATTTAGGCATCTTATCGATACAAATTGTATAAAATATTCCCTAAACAGAAAATAATCTGCTCAAATTCATCCAAATCACTCACTTTACACAGACTTCTTGTAGTTACTGAGTTCACTGTTTGGGTTCATTGTACAGTTTTAAATATATTATGAAATATCCATAAAATATGTCCCTTAAGCAGAGGTCATCGGCTTCATAAAGGATAAAAGGGAATAGTCTGGGAACCACTGATTCAGATCATGAGATAAATTCAAAAGCTCAGGCAGCAATCTGGAGAAATACATTGATGCTCTTCAACAGCCTCTGACCTTTGACCTGGAGGTGCACTACACATGCACACAATATTTTCCCATGATCTCCCTGTTCATGACATGTTTGATACATAGATGGTAGGCAATTACATAATTCCCATGGCACAGTTGTTTTACATTAATGTTTAAATGTTAGTAAGACAGAGGAATGTGCAGTTTTTACTGTCTATCAATGGTGGATTCACTCTCTCTCAACACATGCTGAATTCCCACACTGAAAGATTTTCTCAACCTCTGTCTCTGCTGGTAGAGGAAAAATGATAAAATCACTGGAATTAAAGCAATAAACACTAAAGATTTTAGTCAGAAAACAAACATTTCTGTTTAAGCTTATCTTCAAAGTGAGTCGGTGTGTAAGCAGGCAGCAGTGTGATCTTTATAAAGTGGGGTGGTGTTGTTTACTTTGCCTTTTTACTTACCTAAATGAACCACACATTGGTCATACTATATGGATATTGTAAGAATAACCAGTTAATAATCAGAGGTTGGCAGCTTCAAGCTTCAAAACACTTTCTATTAAACAAATCCAGGGTTTGATCTAAGGCTGCCCCGACTAAAGATTTTTCATAAAAACAAACTCTGCTCTCAGAATTCATGCCTCTTCTGATCCCGTCCTGAACCCCACCGTGTCTTCATCGTCAGAGTCCTGGTCAGAGAAGATGTAAATTACCTGGCGTCCGCCAGTCTCGCCCGGCTCCAGTTCTGGTGCTTGGTGCTAGTCGTGTAAACAAACCTACCCTGTGTCCTTTGAGCTACCAGTCCGGGTAGCGTCAGCTAAGCGACGTGTGCTATGTAGCTAATGAGAGCTAGTGCCACGTTACAAGAGCAAAGGTTCGTATTGCAACAATCCCCTGATACTTGTAATCATCTTTAATGTCCTTCACAATGTCCCAGAGCCCAACGTGACTCCTTTAAATTGCTTACTGTCCGACCAACAATCCAAAACCCAAAGATATTCAATTTAAAAGATATAAAATACATAAAAGCAGAAAATCCTCATATTTAATAACTTGAGTTTTACATTCTGGGAATCACACTTATTTATTTTCTTGCAGAGACTAGATCAAAGAAGATCAATACCACTTTAATATCTACTTGATTAACTTAGCTTAGCATAAAGACCGGGAAATGGCAGAAACAGCTAGCCCGGCCCCCGTCTCTGATGCTTAAAAATTAACAGTTTGTTTAATTTGTTCGCAAACTTAAAAGTGTACAAACGACAAGCTATGTTGTGCTGGAACTATTTCTTGGCAACTAGCAGCTGGAAGCAGTTATTTCCTGGAGTTCAATTAATGGACCGAATCGTTTCAGAATCACAGTTCAGTGATATATTGTATCGTACAGGCTGAGACAATATTTAATTAGTTCAGTCTGACCAAACATTAATATTTAACTGTACAATAGAGCAGTTTTTAACTTCATTTATCTTCTTTTCTCTCAGAGTCTCCACAGCCAGCGCTCTCCAGCTCTCAGATCCTCTCCCTGTTCCCCACACAGCCAGTTGGGGGTTCTCCATACTCCTCCCCCCCGTACTCTCCCACCGCTATGCCCTGGGCTCAGCAGGGGCTTCTGGGAAATCAGTGGGCAGGTTCTGCTGCAGCGCCCTGGCCCACAGTCCCCGGCAGTATGGCAGCATGGCCGGCAGGCGTCGCAGCGCCCCCTGTAGGCGGCCACATTCAGGCTCACAGCACTCAACCAGGAGTCATGATGGGAGGAAGCACACCCACCTCACCCACCACCGTCGACCCTTTAAACTCCATCTATGCCCCCGCTGGAGCAACAGGACCTCTGCAGTTTGATTGATGAATTTGGTATAATTCTTATTTAATTTTCAAGAGAATTTGGCTGTGATGGTTTCCCCCATAATGCAGCAGTATTATTATGATTATTAACAGTCTACAGGCAGCAGCAGTGAGTTTTAGCTAAAGATTTTGCACCTAATGTTATTTATGTAACTACCAACAACAACAACAATAATAATAATAAAAGATACAGTAAATGTCTGCTCACTAAAAACTGCACAAAATGTAATTTCATATGTGTTTTTCTATTTGTGTGAATCTGGACACTTTCTTTATTTGCTTATATAATCAAATATTTTTGTTGCTATTCAAGAAAACTGAAAGATTGAAACAATCCAACATTTATAGTTACAGTATAAAGTAGTCAATGTTTACTGTTTACTGGAAAATATAAATTTTGATCCAAAACAGTTTCACTGTTTTTTATTAAAAAAAGCTGAAATCTCATCATAATATTAATATAATAGATGTTAGCAATTAATCCTATTTAATTTCTCCCGCTCATATACGATACACAGTATGTTATTGTCTTAGTTTTATCTGAAGCTTAAAATGACTTTTCCTTTCATCATTTGTTCTCTACATGTTATTTTCCTTCCTCTTTTTTTAAAAGTGTTCATCACGTTTACTCATACAATACACATGCGGAATAAAATACAGAACATTCGAGGAAGCATGTTTATTTTTAGTTTGTTTTATTTTTTTATGACAGTATATCACTTTGCCTGTGGACTGGTAGCTGGAGCCAGTTTCACCTCCTGTGCGCTGC